AATAATAATAATAATAATAGTCTAAATTTTAACATATTGCTATTTCTTTGTTCATTGAAATGTGATAATTATCTTCGCTTCACTAAACCCTGAATGTGTTCCGGATTCCATCCCGGTAGCTGTTTGATATTCATTGATTCTGCTGACCTGAGGTCCCTTTGAATGATGACCATCTGTGACCAGTACGAATATACCCATCCTATAAACAGCTTTGCACCTATAATGACGAATCCCAAAATTAATTCAGTAACACGGTCAATAATGCTAGTGGTATTCTCCCAATGGTATTCTCATTGTATTTAAGTAATCCTTCTTAGTGATTAGCCATCTCTACGCATATCCACTACCACAAAATGAATAACGCAAATGAGTTGTTTGACAATTTTCGTGATAATGTGAAATATAAAATGAATCTAAAATCTAATTTGGCGTTATATATAAGTGACAGCAATGGAAGAATAATAATAATAAAACATTGCAAACAGGATTCTAATGCACTAAGTTGTTGTTTGAGCACATGAAAGTTTCTTAATACACTAGCAACAGTGTCGCACACATTGAGAAAAACAAGTGTTGCGTAAAACTAAAATAACAGTTAATGAAAACTAATAAATGAATACATACGTATACACAATTCTTGTTCAAGGAGTGATATGACGTAGTTATCGTTCTTTATAGGCGCAATCGTAGGAAATGTCATATTATTAGTTAAGTCTTCAGATGTGAAAACGTTTGCAATTTTTTTTAGAAAAATATCTTTGTATTCCTGTATAAAGAGATAAAAAATACGTGATTTATAGCAGGGTGCGAATTCCCAAGTAACTTATGAATCACACTAAGCATTATGAATAAACATTTTAATATTGCATTGTGATGTTCACGCTAGAGTTTGATGAAATAAAGATATATGTGAATATTATATATATATATTGATAGTTTACCACTAACATATAAATAAAAAACAATCGTCGCCCGTGCGTTACATTTTGGCAGGATAACATGACGTCATAAAACATATGATTCGTTATCATACTTACCGTTACGTAGTTGGGATGTGCTACAAATAAACATGAGATGTTTCTTCTCTTCATAAGTTCCGTGAAATCTTCAGCGACACTTAAAGCTGACCTTCGCATGGCATCAGATTTGACAAGATCACAGTTATTCAACCCATGGCGACATCTAACACGTTATAAAAAGTAACATACATTTTATTCAACTACTATTCTATGAGCAAGAGAACGTTATAAAACAACCATTATTTTTATAGCATCAGTTTTCAATTTTTTCATCAGAATTGTACAGATTGTTCACTCAATCCCAAAGAAAAAATTACATAATGTCGTTCTATAACATTCTCTTGACTTAACAGATATATTTTGTGTATTCTCAACAACCGTAAATACACTTTCATATATGAAACTCAACTTGAACGAGGACCTTAAATTACGGACATAATCAACGTTTAGTATCGCTGCTATTTAAAGACAGTCAAGGTCAGTTACTGAACAGACGGCGTCGTGTTGGTTCTTCTCCGTGGATAATTATTTTCAGATTCATACTGTCTTCTGTAAACATTAAAAAACCCTCAAACTAATCTAGATTGCTGAATCCACAGTTTATATACACCTAATCTATTTTATGTAACATCTTATTTATAATCTAAAATAAAATTAACTGCGTAACGTTTAATGTTATGGGTTACATGTCTGATGTTTTATTCCTTTTATTTTATAATATATTTTCTGATGATTACTACATTTTTCAAAACTTCCCGATCGTTTCCATTCCAGTATAATACAATCGTATGTACCAAGCACGTTCGCCTGTTATCTTAAGGTGTCTGTGAAATTCCCAACCACACATTTCCCGTTTTGGATTTGCAATCCACTGAAATAGACAGTTATTGATTTTTTGATTGAAAATGATTACTCGTATCCGCATATTTCTCGTGTTGTAGCACGCCCTCCTACCCCAAAATAGTCGACTGTTTCCGACTTTCCAACTGCAGCTGATGTAAAAGTGCGCCACTAAACGCCAAACTATTAGAGGGAGCCATACTAGTGCGCTATACTTTTATAATACTGTGTCATTCAACGATACTATTAACGATATATATTTTTCGATCGGCGCCTTTTTTGAAACGCTGTATTTTTGGCGAACCAAGCAGTGCGTATTGTAATAGTGTGAGAATTTACGCGTTTCCAAACGATCCAAAGGTGTAACATCAGTAGACGAAAGCCGTAAAATCAATGAAAAAATAGGATCTCCTTATAACTATGTAACTATATATATAACTATATTTTGACTCTTTGTCAACCACACGATCCCACTAGATGTATGTTTATTATGTTGACAATTTCGCAATAGCAGTAAATCTAACTTATAATTGGTAATATTTAAACAAGCATCTGATCTATAAAGTGAGTACACATCGTTCTAAATTAACCTTGTTTGTGTATATATCTTTAAAAAATTTCCAATATTATCTTGCCTACATATCCTTCTAAATAATTTAAAATTTTTGGGTTTGTATAACAATCTAAATGAAAGATTCCCCGATTCGTAAGGTAATTGCCTTGAATTGATTATGAAATACACATATTATAATCAAATTAATATTCTACGACACAAAAATGGCACAGCCCACATTTTGCGTTGGCCACCGAAATTTATTCCTGAAATCACACGTTTTATGTCTGTGGAGAGCTGTACTTATTCCACGCTTATGCAAATATGTATTGTCAGGTTTAGATTTAAATGTAATAACTCGTATAATGTAGTTACTAATGTAGTATCAGGAGCCACAAAATTGTAACTGTTCAGTTCTCATCATTCTACATACTTTAAATGATGAATGCACTTCACTATATTAATGTGATTACAAGACCCTATTCAATATTAATTAAGGACAGTATGTCTCCTATATACCTGTAAAACCATAGTTTTTATATCTATATCCACCGCAAGTCTGTTTCTGATACTCGTTGGCTTACATGAGTATATGTCGATGTCTACATTTATATATATTATAGACGGAACATAATATTATTATTGTTAGCCATATAGCATTGCTTATGTTTGATTAGTTGAATAGACATCGCTGAAAAAATGTATTATATGCTATATACAATATACAACCTGGTGATTATTTTAATCACTTAAGTAACACATTTTGTTTTCAATTTTGATATTTAGGATATTTAAATTTATTTTACATGCAGGATGGCAACAGTACATGATATTTAAAGAGGCTAACGCTCTTTCTGATGATTTTATGTGTCATTTCCCATTATAGTGCGCGTCGTGCGTCATTAGTTTTTACGAGACTAGTCAACCCATAGTTCTCACATCACCTTTTATGTGACAGCCACTTTTGTGTCTAAAACAATATTTTAATTAGATTTGGTTATCTTTGTGTGGTTATATTTAAACTGGTTATTGCCACTTTAATTTTTTCATGTAGATAATACGCTTTACGTATGATATTAGTAGTTCATATTGTGCAGTATTTGCGGAATGGTCATCCAGTTACTTAATTATATAAGTAATTATCTGGTATCTACATTATGGATAACCATAATATTTGTCGTATTGAACAGTTAAATTTACACTATTTGCTAACTAACTAATTATATACAAATGAATACTACTAGGGTAAGCAAGCCAATAATTTAGAACTAACTAAGAATAAAACAAATTACAATGTTTTAGTTTACCAAACATCGGTGAAACACGAATCATCATCTTTCGTTAATGTGGTTATTGGACATTGGACGTTGCCATACTCACACGGCCCTAAAATGTCAAAAAAACTGTTTCAGTGAGAATGATAACATTAACAAACTTCCCAATCTTATAACACGTAATACGGAAACTAAATCGAATATAATTACTGGAGATTTAAATGTATTATTGTAAGAAAGTTTGAACGGCCGTTGCATATAATGAAATGTGTATGTGTGTGTGTTGGAAAGCCATTAACTATTAACAAAATAAAATCGTCATCAGATATTACATATAAATTTAACAAATAATGATTTCAACATTTATAAAATAATGAAAATAAATTTTGTTTTCGACTTTCCATAGAAAGCAAGAATAAATCTGAACACTGTTTTTGATTATCGCATTAACAAATCTCGTACCAATTTAATGTTATAACTTATTGCAGGGTAATCGACGCTTACCTTTCTTGCAGCTTTGTTCTAAAATGTACTGCCATATATAACCTTCCTTTGCACATATTTTCGTTGACCAGGTCAGCCATATCTCTTATTTTCTTGGGGCGAATAAGATGTATGTCTACTTGTTGAATAAGTTTATTCTTTCCCGGCATATTGGTATGTATAAAGTTCCTTGGTTCGTAGATGCCAACACATCTTACGTATCTGGCTTCTGTAAATATTGATTGCGGGTCACTTGTCAATTTTAGTTCATAGTATGATGGTAGTCGTATTCCGTGGACTTTTTCGTAAAGTCCCACATGCTGCGTATACGAAACATCTGTCGCACTGCTGAGGGCGACTATCATGTCCACTGTATTGTTACAGTCACGTTTAAAATCATCTATGTAAACCAAGTCGAGTAATCGTCGTAGTTCATACTCGTCGAACGTTTCGTTTAGCGGTTTCCATTCATTGCGGGAGGTGTAGTGAGTATGAAACCACTTTTCAACAAGTGATCGGTTTGTATACATCGCGTATACAGCGGCCATTCTAAAATGCTCATAATTGAAATTGGGTCCGCTGCCAAAGTGATGAACCGGAAGTAAATATCGCTTTTTGACACGTGTCTGTGTAGTCTGTAGACTTCCCTTCACGTCATCGACCTTTAAGGGATAAAATACGGAATACATAATAAATCGTTGTCATCTGTACTGAAAACACATATTATACCAATTGTATAGTTGCATGATCTCAGAATGATTAGTAGTTATCTGATGTACTATATAATGGCTTTCTCGTCACGTTAAAGACTTGGCATCCTTGTATATATATGTACACCACTAAGCAGACCATGTTTTTTTGTATATGGTATGTTTTTTTGTAGACTGTATATTGCGTTTGTGTTTTTGCCCAGCATGTTAAAACGTAAAATTCAAATAAATCAGAGAAACGAAATTAAACTGCATTAATAACTTATATGATTGTGTACATGTCGCTTTTGAAATATTATTTTAAAATCCAGATCAACATCAAAATGGACTAATCAAAGTTAATCTTATCATTAAAAAAATAAACTTTCTTCAGTGACATATATGCTTCGATCATTACCTCTCTTCCCGCCGCCGCCGCCGCCGCCGCCATCACTACCACTGAAAAGCGTATGTACATTACCTTGTATGGTTACATACTTGTAAACAGCACCGGGGTGATTTGTTTGAAAGTTGCTATTTAGCTACATATTATAAGCAATGCCATACGTTCAGTAATTTGGTACAACGAATTTTTGTGTGTTTTCAATCGGTTTAAACACATATGATCAACGTGCCAAAACATAGCTTACGATTCTGTTGGATTTTGAGTATTATTGTCGTAATTACTAAAATATCACAAATTATGTTGAAATATTACCTCAACTGAAGTCAAACTTTGTTCATTCATAAGGTTGTCAACGTTTTTGGATGTGTCTTTGTCTGCTATATTATAATCCTGCAATGATACGAGTTCATGCCGTTATCAATGATTACACAGATTACGCAGTGTTCTGATGAATTCTGCAACGTGAAATAAACAAATCACATCCACGTAAAGGGAGTTGGACGTATACTATTCTTCGATTGGCGCTCAGACAACATAACAGCATACCTCGCACTTCTATACGATGACAATCTGCCTGTTTCACCAGTAATGTGTAATTTGTGTGAATGCACCATTATTACATGAAATAATACATACCTCAGTGGCAGATTTGTTTATATCTTTTTTGCCTGGAATCTTCATATCGACTTTATTGTAAGATTCAATGACTCCTTCCACATTGTTAACAACCTTACTTTTTGTATTCTGAGATAATTGTGTTTCTTTGTCTGTGCTATTGGTGACACGAGTTTGTTTATTATCTGGTATAGTCTGCGATGTAAAAAAGGTAATACATTGATAAACTGTTTGATACTAAAGATAATGTTTATGGCTGTAATTTCACCAATGTGTGGATGGGATTGAAAAACCTGGTTCTTTTGAAAAGGATTTGAGTGTAATAAATACTTCATTAACCAGGTGCCTCTAGACCACAAACGTGTTAATCCATTAATTGTACTCAATGAAAAATAGTAACCTGCGTACTACTAACAATAATTTAAAAGCAGAATGTAAAGAACGGGTAGGTGACATATTGGTCCGTCCGGATTGCCTTCACATTACTGATAAACTAACTGTCGTGTGGCGATCTAAACCAACATTTGCACCGGATCTTAACAGACTAGTACCGAATTATTAATAACATAGAAACATAGAAAAGGAAACGGAAGCAAGACGTAAACTGATATAATCATGATACACTTAAAAAACATTTTGTATTGTGTAGAAATGAATACCCATCCATTCATCTGTCTTTCTCGATAGTTATAAAATAGTTATTATAAAAATTCATAGCTCACTAGCTCTTATGATTTACAAACAGGGATTTTTCTGTTCGTTCGTTCATTCGATTGACCAGTGGTGAACTCAATAAGGCGCCCCGAGCACAAACACAACCACAACCCCACTAAAATAGTCGTTATTTGTACAGGAATATCCCATAATGCATCGCGACAAAGACGTCATTGTGACAACCGCTCACCAACAAAAAATCTCCAAAGATTCTATTAAAGTCTCTACACAATGATTGAAACCAAATAAATAAATGTCGTGAACCTTAATAAATTGTGTAACGTTTTTTTTAAAAAAAAAACAGTTATGTCGATGCATATAGAACCGAGGTAGAACTGTCGCATATGGTGTTACACTGAATACTAATCCCTCAAACATTGGACAATTCACGATGTCAGAGCATATCTACTATATACAAACTAACATATGTACCACCTACATACAGATGTGTTATTTCTTCATAGACGTGGCAAATATACGCATTTGAGCTACGATTACTGTGCTACAGTGAATTACATTATAGTGTATAGTCTAAAAAGATATATAATGTGATAAGTTATAATCAATGTCCCTATTGCAACTTACCGTTTTTCTGTTCTTCTTAGTACCATTTTGCCTATTATTTGTTTTCTCTGCATTCTCGTATCACCTAGGCCATCTGTAATGGTCCTCACAGTCGGTGTGTCAATTGTGAGAATCTCGTTTTTATTCTCGGCATTGGAATTGTCTTTATAGTTGTACGCGATCGAAGAGGGTAGATAACGCGTCACAGAAGATACATTATCCAGTCCGTAAGTATAAAGCGTTAAACAGAAAACCATCACGAATAACAACAAAACGGTGAAAAATCGAGACGCTACTTTCGGTATAGATGCCATACTCCGATATCAGGCAACGTGTAAATGAATACAATAAAACAATATATTAACCACGCCTGGATGAATCGCTCAAATGGGCCAGCAAATCAGCTCACTGCTGTGTTATCGCAGCGAGTTAGTCCTTTATGTGGGCTAAAGACCTCAATGCGAGAAAAGCGTACGCACAGTTTATTCTGTCAACACATAGACCCTTTTAAGGGTATATGATCAACTTAATGCTGGAAATGACAGTTTAAATATCATGGTATGATATGATATTTCACTTGTCATTTCAACGAGACAAATAGTGTACGTGTCACCAATTACCTGCCAAGGAACTCGGTATTTTGACCTAGAGTTTTGACTAATAGTTCGAGATCAATTAATTAAAATGAAAGAATGCCTCTGCCATTTGATTTTTATGGATGTGTGCAATATATATCCTTTGATATTGTATTATTCGGTAAAATAGAACAAATATTCACCCCAGCACATGTCAATACACGATTAGTCGATCCAAGGACAATTGTCAACGTAGGCGATAATGCGTATTGAATTGTGTTTCGATGAACATTTTTATTCTGCTGTAACATAACGCGAATAAAGAGTGTGGATGAAAATTATTCATTTCATTAAGGTGAACAATAAATAAGAACATATTTATAGCAAATGTGCGGAATATAAGAATAGAATAAGTTATTCTTGAGATTGACATCGATATATGCACAAATTGCTGTAATCTCCTTTTATATCAAATCAGTGCATGTACATTCAGTCTAACGGTACTCTGTCTTGTTTAACACACCACTTGATATATACTTAAATGGCTACATTGTAGATTGTATCATTAACTTCTAACTGCACCTTCCAATTGGTGTCTCAAAATTCGCGTTACGATAACAAGAACGATTATCAAGACCATAGCTTCGATCATGTCACAAGCATTAACTACATAAACTACTCACAAATATCGACAACACATCTTTCAATAACTGGACTGAAACGTAACAAGAAAGACAATAAATGGTAACATTAGTTTATTTATTTCAAACTGTCGACATATTACCAATCTGACAATAATCATAATATTTACATATCAAATAAACACCCATTGCAATATACCAAATCTTAGTTGCACGCTGACACGTCACCTTCTTTTCTTGCCAAATTTCCGGCTGTTCCAGGCTGGAAGGTTTCTTATATTAATAGTTTCTTCCTTTCTGAGTCTTCTCTGAAAACCAACCATATGCGACCAGTAGGAATACGTCCATTCAACAAAGAATCTGGACCCTTAAAAGAATTAAAACATAAATGTCTAACTAGCATAGTTTTTAGTGGGCGACCAGAAGATCGATCTATATAAACTATGAAGTGTACACTCTCCTACTCTCACATGTTATTGTTTACGCAACACGACATACGTCATGGCGTCGAAACGAGCTCATTTCTTCAAAACTAACATTGTTCTTATGATCGTGAGAAATTAGATTAGAGGAACTTGACCATGCTACTCAGTGTTACGTGTGGGATCTGTGTGTATTATTTATGGAATAATGTACATCCGTGTGTGTTTATTTCACGTACAAACTCACATGTTATTGTCATTCAGTTTTGTGTGATAATGATATACTTACGTATACACAGTTCCTGCTCCAGAAGTGATATCACATAGTTGTCATGTCTGAGAGCAGCAATTGTGGGAAATTTGGCACTATTTGTTAAATCTTCGCTAGAGTAAACCTCAGGTATTTTTTTCTTGAAATAGTGTATAGCTTCCTGCATGAAACAGTAATAAATACGTGACAACAGTCTAATGTACAATGTACGACGATTAATCATATTGTGTTTGACTTGTGTACTGTATATCAATACACATGTAATGAAGATTGAATTCTAAACGATCACTGTGCAAAATTCAATAGTGCATGCATGGTCCACCTCAATTGTTTTCTCTGTACTATGCATCATACCTATATAGTATATTACCTATAGAGTATATTCAGTGGTTACGGATCGGTACGCAGCAACCCAACATCAAGCACTTATCCACAGACAGTAAATTCCATTAACAAAGTTAAGAAATTTTAAACGAAGTGTATATACGGAATTATATCAATACGTCATATATTATAGCCGCCTCGACTTCTGCTGTTCTTTAAGTTCATAACCCTCCCTCCCAGTGCATACGCTGTGCAATTTTATCAATGATCTTATACTTATTATACGAAATATCTTATAAATAGCACAACAAATATATGTATATGACAGTAATAAATGAAAGTCTATGTATACGCTGAATACTAATTACACAATTGCAGTCGTTCACATATATGTCATTAAAGTCAACTCATACCGTTTATTAAAGTTTGCGTACGTTAGATTAGTGAACAATGTCACACAATACGCCCTCAGTGTTTTAATTTCCTCTTTACTGTATACTACTATAATTGTACAAAGTTTGAGCTGCTATTAAAGGGCGGTAGTCGTCGCGCCACGCATGCGCGAGATATACTGGTCTCATAAAAACATGGAGACTTTGGCTGTTGCACAGGTTAACGAGTACAAACTGAGACGTTACTAAGCTTTAATTAGGTATTTTAGGTTATTGGAAGGTATCGAAGGAATCATTGGCGGTAATTAGTGCCCAGGTCAAACCTCATACTTGTGATTTTCGATAGAAGAGCGCATTGGATTGTGGGAAAGTTAATGCTTATCAACACAAATGTCGCACATGCGCAGCGCGAAAGGGGGAACGATCCCGTCGCCGATATTCACGGAGTGTTGTCTTTCCAATTTCAACCCAACAATACAGCCATCCCGGAATATTGGAAAAAATGTAACAATACAAGTGCGAACGAAAAATAACGAAACGAACAGTCAGAAATCATCTGCAAGTTATGCAAATATAATTACTTTCTTACTGGTTATTCCAGCAATAAATCCAGTTACTCCGCTATTCCGTTATTTTTCACTATTTTTTTTTAATTTTTAGGTATTCTATTTAATTTCTTCAATTATTTAATTTTCGAAAAAAACAATAAGACTTATAAACACGTTTATAATTATACAACATATATCCTTATCCCTATCCCTTTTTCTTAAAAAAATACCGAATTGTATCCATAGTTTATCACAA